CCCCCCCCTCCCCCCCCCCGCCAGCAGCACCCCACAAGTCATGCACCCTCAACGATCGCAGCTCACCGTGACTTGAAAACAAACCGTAGCAACCACGGGCGACAAAAAACCAAATACATTACATTCTATTACTAATCTTTGGTGATGGGGAGGAGGTAGAGACACACCTTCACAGCGTCCTCGCCATTCTCCACCGTAGCCGACGGCTGGCTGTCCCCTCCCGCGGAACCCTCCGGCCTCGGTACGACGCTCTTCGACCCGTGCGGAGGAGGCAAACCAAGCGGGAAGACACACAAACGCAGCAGCGCAGAGGCAGGCAGCAGAGGCGGGTGTAAGCAGGTGCGGATGGTGACAGCAGGCTTCTACATCTCAAGTACACCCGGGTGTGCACGTATAGCAGTAGCTGGCCGCACTCGTGAGCGATAACACCCCAAACGAGAGAACAAAAAAAAATGTTGCGAAAAAAAACACGTGCATCTAAAAAACAAGATCACTTTCGCCCTTGGAATAATTATTCGCGCTGTGATTGTCGCTGTCGATAGGAAGAACACGCACTCGATAACATTCTTCTCACCGCTTGCTGCTGTAAAGAACCTGAGACAACGTTGTTGTCTGGTCCGACATCCATCGGATGTCTCGCAGGCGTGCGGGCGAACCCGGTGACCGACCCCGCCGCCGAAACCGGCGTCCCCACGGCTGTCATCGCCTCCGTAGCATGCTGCGGAGGCCCCAACCGTACACACGGGTAGGTGCAGCACACAAAGGGTGTACACACACATATTCGGCACGTCACCCCTGGTCAGCCGACTTAGCGCGGTCGGTACTATTTCAAAGCAAACACAAACACAATGGTCTCGCCTGCGAGGCAACCCCCACCGCACAGGGCCCCGGATCAGGGCCCTCCAAAAGACTTCTCCCCCAGAAATCCGCTCCAAGACTGGCGTCATTTCATCGGTCAGCCCGCTACAGTTGTTGTTGTTGTCTTCACATTAAAAACCATCCCAGTCCCTCTATCCAGTACCTCCTTCTGTTTCAATCTTTCCGTACTAATCCAGCACTTGACTCGGTCACTTTCCGTGGTCACAGGCTAACGTACCTAGAAAAGGTATACCAAAATCAAATGGACCCCAAGGGTTAGCAGAGCGATAGAATATAAGAAAACAAAGTAGCGCGATCTAATAGCGCTGCTGAAACTAAAAACACAAGCAGTCACACGAACTGCGCCAGCCCACCTCTTCCCGGGCCTCCTCCCTCAGCCGTTGCTGCCCAACCTCCTGCAAGAAGTCCATCATGTCAACCTCGGCGGTCTCAGAACCCCCCGGCGACCTCCCGTCCACCGCGGGAGGATCCCGCGGAGCCCCCCACGCCCCGCCGGAGACCGCCGACACCGGGCTCAGCACGCACTCGCTGCCCCCGCCGCCGCCACCGTTACCGTTGCCGAACACCAACTGGGCGGACGGCGACATCTCTTCGTGAGCCTCCTCTGGCGGGGTCGTCGTGACGTCTTCTGCGGGCGACGGCATCATAATCTCCCCGTGCTCTTCCGGTGTCGTGGTCGCCGTGGAAGGCAGCCTGGTGGCAGCACCGGCGGCGGCGGCGGCGGTCGCCGTCCCTGGCGGTCCTTCTTCTTCCCCCGAGACACCAGCGGCGGCACTCTCAAGCTGGGCTACGTTTTCGGTCTGCAGGGGCCCGCTCTGCAACAGTTAGCCGAGGGGGGGGGGGCGTACTCATGCCTTAGCGGTTGACAGCGCGTCCTCTAGAGGACGGGGGGGGGGGGCATTCAGAGATTTACTTGTTGCGGGCGAGACCCCACTTCCCCCGCATTTATTCACTTCCGCCTGGGAACCTCTTTTTGCGCGGCAAATCCGCGCGCAGACTGGCAAAATGACAACAATGATGGGACGTGACCACTGCTATGGTGGGTACTAAAAAAACACCGCGTTCGTAAATGGGTCGCCCATGCAGTGGTACATGAGGGGTTGGACACAAACAGGGGAACACGAGGTGGGATGCTTTCCTTTTCGGCCCTACAGAGGTTGTCGGAGAAGCGGTGATCACACCGCATCTTGACGAAGCTGGCATTTGTTGTCAAATTACACGTCCTTACCAAGAGGCTGTTCGTCTAAACCCGAGCCTACTCAACTTCCCCAAGGCTTTCTTTATGGACATACAAGCTTCTGGGATTGGGCTCCAGCCCACACCATTGAAAGAGCCATTGAAAGAGATAACCCAGAAAACACCTCTCTCTATCTTTGCGCATGACCCAAAATGTACACACATACAAGCCCGTTGCAGAGTGGGCGTCTGTCTCACTCGATCGTTTGTCTGTATCGCAGGTCATCGCTTTGCACGAACCACTTTGTCACCGTTATCGTATCGAATTTGTCCCGTACTCAGTTGGTTACACTGCCCGTCATCTACTGGACGTCAGAAGGGCATCACAATCCACGACGGCATATTTTCGGATTCGCTCCGCATGTATGTCCAATCCTGAGGAACTGGTCTACGAGCGGGCTGTACTCGGCTGTCAAAGGGAGACTTGTGCGTACTTTTAGAGCCATAGCAAGGGCAAGACAGAAGAGCTACTGCTGTCGAAGAAAAGGCTACGGTTATCGCATCGACCGCAGCACGTACTAGGTATGCGCTGTACTGCTGTAGACAGAAAACACGCTCCAGCGTTTGCTCTGTAGCGATTTTCGACGCCATGGGAAGCGGCTCGTTGTTGCAGGCATGCAGGTCTTACTCTCATGTTGTAACGTATATCATTGCGTACATGTAGCTTCCTTTCACGCTACAGCAATACCAAACCGGCGGGAAACATAGAAGGCCGTCACCCGTCGCCCACCGTACGATGATACTTGTACCTGGGTCCCCATCCCAGCACTCTCTTATAAGTCGATGTAAAACCCTTGCCCCCCCCCCCC